ATCCGGAGTTACTTTGATCCTCCGGTTAACGATTACGTTTGTAGCCGGAGTCAGCGTTTCGTCTGTGAATTTCAGGTTTAAGGATTCACAAGAGAAGACTTTTGGCACAGCAGTTATCACCTTAGGCAGTGCATTAATTGTCTTGATTCATCTTACTCTGCTAAGCCTAGCAAGTACGATACGCAATATTGTAATGACATTTTTCAGAGAAAGAAAGTGAAAAAATATTTTTATGCAGTGCTTTCGGATCGAGTGTAGGCCTACCTAGGGACAACTATTTAATTAAATACTGCAGTTCTGTTTATTCAGTTGAGTAGTTAAGTAATGTTTTGTTAATGGCCAATGGACGTATGGTTTTAATGATCTAAATGGAATTTGCTTTGTTTTCTTATATAGATATTTTGAGCTTTGATCGTCCAGTCCTTTTTTAATTTTCGTTTAGTTCGTTTTTTGTCGCACTTTTGTTCCTTTTATGTTGCTCTATTTCATTGAAGTTTTGCTTCATTCTCAAGTCTACTGCTTGTGTTTTATTAGCTATTTTCAGTTTTAGTTTTGTTCACTTCTATTTCACTTTTAATTCTTATGCGTTTCATTTCCTTTTTATGTTACTCTATTTCATTTAAGTTCTGCTTCATTCTTGTCTACTACTGCTTGTGTATTATTAGTTTTATATTTGTTCACTTCTATTTCACTCTTAATTCTTATGCCTGTTTTAAAGTTTGGTTCTGTGTTTGAACTGCTTTAGATTTTACTTGTTTTATTAACTATATCTATCTTTAGTATTATACACTGAAGTCCTGTTTCACTTTTCAGGACTTTGCAGCATTATTTACTGTATCGTTTGGTTTTAATTTGTAAAGTTAAGTTTTTTGTTTTTTGTCTTTTGTCTGAGTTTTAGTCACCTTGTTTGTTTAGTTTTCCATTGAGAAATGTATGATTTGTACTCTCCCCATTAAAGGACATTCTGTGAACAAAACTTGTTAATAACCTTGCTTGCTTTCCTAAGTCACTACAGTAGGGTCATCCAGACAGAATGACTTTAAATTAGTGTTTTTTTTCTTATCTTTTTGAGCAGCGCCTTCCCTTCCCAAGGCGACTCTGTATCCTCACAGAACCACAGTCATTGGCCTTCAGATTACTGAAGTGACTACCCTTAATTGTAGGACAGGGAAGTGAGAAATCTATCACTGGCCAGTTTTGTTCCTTCAAGAACAAACGCCACGCGTCCACAACGGGAAATATCTTAAAGGACGCAGCCTTTGATTAATCAGTCACCTACGTTTTATTTTTTTTTGCAGCATATCCTGACTCGGGAATGTTGGCTTGATTACACAGCTCCTCGTGGGTCAGATCATGAGCCTGGGCTGAATGATGTCAGAAGCTTACTTCTCAAGCCTGTTTTGAGGTTCTGTTGAGTTCACATGTGACGTTAAAATGTTTCGTCTAACACGAGGTCTTTCTGGGCTGCTCGGTCCTCTCAAATTACTTCCGATAAATTTGGATGAAAGAGAGGAAATCGGTGAGGTTTTAATAGAATTGAGACTTCACATGTGCATGAGCTTACTGTAAAACAGAAAATCGACGAACTGCAGAAGCACAATAAGCGTTTTTACGGCAGGGTTGGTTGGGGTGCGGAAATGCCCAGGACATACATCTTTTTTTCTTTCTTTCTTTTTTTTACTGCATCCATGTGTATTTTTTGAAGTGCTTTTAATGTCAATTTTCAGGTCGTTAGAAGACACAATATATTTAACATGAATTGGCTGCTCTTCTCACACTTCCACTTCTAAAGTGAGGCTACGGCTAGGGTTGCCAGGTGTCCCAATTGTGGCTCGATTAGTTTCGCAACAAAAATGAAACTCAATCTTGTCTTAAGATCACAAGGGACAGCAGGATCATATCCCGAAATGAACCAACGTTGTTTTATTTCTTGTCCATACAATTATACTCATTAAATGTCGTGAATCAGGTATAACCCAAATAATTTCTCCAGAGAATTATCATAATTTCAACATACTGAATGATGAGTAATGAATAATATGATAATAAACGAATAAATATGTGTTTATAAAAACAGGAGATACATTTACATTGTTTTGTTGTTTTTGGAAGCGTATTCTAAATATGCGCAGACTGCAGCATCAAGTTAAACAGACACATCAAACTTAATCAATATATTAGTTTTCTTATGAACGTGCAACAGCACTTTATTCCGGCAAGCCCAACCTGGATAAATGTGTGCCGTTTGTTCGTGTGAAATGCAGTAAGTATGGTTATCCTCCTCGCCGAAGGAACTCCACAATCACCGGCGTTTTATCCTCGAGCGTGACGCTGGCCTGCCGCTCCGGAGACACGCTGAGTCCCGCCACTCGCCGACCAGGGCAGTGCAAGGGGCGCAGCAAACCAATGGAGGCTTGGATAGCAGAAGGCAGAAGCAGGTTAAAGGTTTAGATTCTAAAATAAAGTCTGTTTACACGTCATAAAACAGACTCATAAATATCCATATCACTTCAGTTACCTCCCATTCACGAATTTCAAAGTTTGATAAGTTCGTTAGTTCTCAAACCTATCACTTTGATCTTGGTGTCATTGGAAAGCTTACTACAAACCCTTTCAGGAGAAATAGTAAATAACGATAAATAAATCAAATTTTGCTAACATATCTACTTAGACTGATGGGGAAGAATCTGTGCCTGACAATCAGGATTTCAGAAATAGAAGTATATAGAATGGTTACCTTGAGACCCTTTTCATCTATGGAAAAAGTGCGTAAATCAAAAAATGATATAGATATTGTTTGGAAAAATGCGATAGTCATAATCGAAAACATAATCGATTGATGTAACGAATGGAGTAGTCTACCCTCAATTTAAAGAAAACTTTTTGGATTTACATTATAAAAAATGGCTTATTTTGGGGCTGACTATTATATTTTACATATAATCTTTCTCCTTTCATCTCAATGTTACTTTTAAACTTACACATACCTATCTCTCTCTCTCTCTCTCTCTCTCTCTCTCTCTCTCTCTCTCTCTCTCTCTCTCTCTCTCTCTCTCTCTCTCTCTCTCTCTCTCTCTCTCTTATATTTTACATATAATCTTTCTCCAGTCATCTCAATGTTACTTTTAAACTTACACATACCTATCTATCTATCTATCCATCTCTCTAATTCTCTCTCTCTCTCTCTCTCTCTCTCTCTCTCTCTCTCTCTCTCTCTATATATTATATATATATATATATATATATACGTATATATATATATATATATATATACGTATATATATACATATATATAATATATATATATATATATACACACACATATATGTATATATTTGTATAGATATACATACACACACATATATATGTATATGCATATATATATATATATATACACACACACACACACACACACACACACACACACACACACACATATATATATATATATATATATATATATATATATATATATATATATATTATATATTTATATATACATACATATATATATACATACACACACACACACACACACACACACACACACACACACACACACACACACACACACACAACACACACATATATATATATATATATATATATATATATATATATATATATATATATATGTATATATATACATATATATATATATTTTTTTTTTTTCAGTGTTACATTCAAAGACATATCCATCCATCTATCTCTCTACTTCTCTCGGATATATGTATACTATATATATATATATATATATATATATATATATATATATATATATATATATATATATATATAATATATATATATATATATATATATATATATATATATATATATATATATGTACACGTCTTTGCTTATTACACACACACACATGTGTATGTGTGTGTGGAATTATATTTATGTATATATATATAATATATATATATATATATATATATGTAAATATATTTTGATATAGATATATATATACATATACATATATATATATATATATATATATATATATATATATATATATATATATTCATATATATACATACATTTGTGTATGCATATACACAAGTGTATATATATATATATATATATATATATATATATATATATATCCATAAGTATATACATATATATATATATATATATATATATATATATATATATATATATATATATACACACGTGTATATGTACACACATATGTACATATATATATACACACACACATATGAATGTATAAGTAATAAAACATGCGCACACATTTCTATCTATATATGTGCGTATGTACAAAGAATGGGTGGGGGGGGGGTATACTGACGCACACACACAGAAAGAGAAAAAAAAGAAGCTATAAGCATGTAAACAAACACACCCTTCCCTCCAACGAATGACTGACTGATGTTGCGTTTCATCTTTGTAAACATGTTTCAGTCCTTGTGTTTCCGTTTAGCAATTCTGAAATGGCCGAGATAAAGACCCTGGAACCACAACACGGAATTATGAATGAATGAAACCTCGCTTAACCGAATAACTCAAACGAACAGCACAAAAATAGCAATGGCACGTTCAGCTAAACAACACAAAGAGAGACCATTCATTCACTGAAATACCATAAGATATCGGTCATAAACAGCGAGACATGGAACAGGAAGCCTTTTTTTCTGCTGCAAAGACCAGGCTGTCGCTCCGAAGGTGTACGAAGGAAGGAAACCATAAAACTGGGGATGTAATCAAGGTGTCAGAACAAAACAAGGCAAATCATGTAATCCTCGTGTTTTTCCGGAACCAGTTCAGTAGGTATAGTACAAAAGCACGCACTTACAAACGGTATTTTCCATAAAATACAACAGTACTGGCATACTACCCGTTCTTAGCATTAGGAACAAAACCCGCCCGGCATTGTTTGCGGATAGTTTGAGCAACACTGACCTCGTCTCAGCCATCCTTGTCTCCTGTGCTGAGGTTAAAGGCAAAGGGATTTTCGGGGGACGCGGGGCTACGTTTACGCCTCAGCATCAAAGGTGCAAACTGATACTGAGAGCATGTTAGTTCTGCAAGCTTCGATCACGTTAATCATTTCGGCGCTATTTCACACTCAGGACAGACTAGCTAACGATTGGGAACCACACACACACACATATGTATGTGTGTGTGTGTATATATAAGCATATATATATATATATATATATATATATATATATATATATATATATATATATTTATCTATATATAAAATATTCACATATGCACATATTCATACACACACATACGAGTACTACCTTTACAAATTTATATGCTTATGCATACATACATACATACATACATACATACACACACACACACACACACACACACACACACACACATATATATATATATATATATATATATATATATATATATACACACACATATATCTACATACACACACACACACACACATACACACACACACACAACACACACACACACACACACACACACACACACACACACACACACACACACACACACACAACATATATATATATATATATATTATATATAATATATATATATATATAATTACTACAGTAAAGTGCTGAAAAAGAGCAATACTCATTAATATATGAACTCTAACACGACCTGTTCTCCTCGCACGACCCTCGGCGCAGAGCGCGAGCAAGGCGCGAGAATTGGCGATAATAACGCGTTTTCCTCTCATCTTCACACTCAGCCGCAGTACTGGTTTCTGGTGAAAATGGAAGGCGGAGTTGACGTCCAATGGCTCGTAAAAGCTGGCAGACTGAGAGACTGCAACCCACCGCAGATTGGCTGAAAATGCTGAATGATTTAGAGTCGATGTGCATAAGATTTTGTTAATGGAAATATAAAGTCGGTTCATTAATGTGAGCATTTTATATTTCTGAAAATGTTCATGTACGCGCACGTGTACTTTTTTTCTTATTGAAATCGGTAGTCTCAGAATAGT